ATACAAGTCCAGGAAATACAGAAAGTCCCAAACAAGATAAACCCAAACAGGCCCACAGCAAGACACATTGCAATTGAATTTTAAAGAGAAAAAGAGAATCCTAAAACAGCAGGAGAAAATCAGTTACCCACAAGGGAGCTCCCACAACACTGTGAGCTGATTTCTCAACAGAGGCTTTGCAAGCTAGAAGAAATTGACAGGAAATATTCAAAGTGATGAAAAGCAAGAATGTACAACCAAGATTACTCTATCTAGCAAAGTTATCATTTAGAATCCAAGGACAGATAAAGAGTTACCCGTCATCACAGAGTGAGTATTACAGGAAATGTTAGAGGGACTTCTTTAAGAAAAGAAAGATAAAAGATAAAAATTATAAATAATAAAATGGCAATAATTACATATCTAGCAACAATAACTTTAAATGTAAATAGATTAAATGCTCCAATCAAAAGATAGAAAGACCCTTACATATACTGCCTACAAGAGACTTACATCAGATCAAAAGACACACACAGGCTAAAAGTAAAGGGATAAAAAAAGATGTTTCAAGAAAATAGAAACAACAACAACAAAAAGCTGGGGTAGCAATATTCATACCAGACAAAATAGTCTTTAAAACAAAAGCTATAACAAGAGACAAGGAAGAACCCCGTTATCCCACTTCTGGATATTTATCTGAAGAAACTAAAAATATTACTTTGAAGGGACATGTGAATCTATATGTTCATTGCAGCATTATTTACAGTAGCCAGGATATGGAGGCATCCTAGATGTCCATCCATCAATGGATAAGATAAAGAAGAGGTGGTGTACACACACACACACACACACACACACACACACACACACACACACACACAGAGGAATATTAGTCATAAAAAAAGAATGATATCTTGCCATCTGCAACAACATAGATGGACCCAGGAGGTATTGTGCTGGCTGAATGGAGTAAGTCAGACAAAGACAAATGTCATATGTAGAATCTAGAGAATAAGATAAACAAACAACAGAAACAAGCATCTAAATACAGAGAGAATTTTGATGGTTGTCAGATTGGGGGGTAGGGGATGGGTGAAGGGGGCAGAAATTAAGAGGTACAAATTAGTAGTTACAAAATAGTCATGGGAATGTAGAGTATAGCATGGGGAATATCGTCAGTAATATCACAGTAACTGTATGGTGTCAGATGGGTACTAGATTTATTGGGGTGATCACTTAATAAGTTATATAAATGTCTAATCACTGTGTTGTACACTTGAAACTAATAAAATATTGTACGCCGACTATAATTGAAAAAAAATTAAAAAAAATAAAAGCAAACCATGTAATGAAAATGTCTTAAATGACATCCAAATTAAGTTTTCTGTTCAGCAAAGGACAAATAAATAAAATTAATAGAACACAAATTGGGAGAAGAGTTTGTTATGCCTACAACCCAAAAGAGAGTAACATTGAAATATACAAGGTATCATTATAAATCAACAACATCAAGAAGAGCAACAACAAACCAAAGCCCCACTATACCAATGAGCAACCGATGTAAATAATCAATTCATAAGAGAAGGAAACCCGAGTGGCTACAAGTGTATGAAGAAAAATGCAAATTAAAACAATAATGAGATACTATTTTAAACATCCAAAAGCTGGCAAATTGAAGCTGGATAATACCAAGTGTAGGTGGGAGTGTAAGAAAACAAGAACTTTCTTCATTGATCTGAGAGAGTAGATAGATGCTACATTTCTGGAGAGCGATCTGGCAGTATCTAGTAAAAGTAGATGAACTTAGCCCTATGACCCAGTGGCCCTACTCCTGGGTAACTATTCCAAAGATATTCTAAAAAATGTCATTAAAATGACTCGGATGAGGTTGCTTAGTGCTGCAATGTCCGTAGAGAGGGCAATTAGAGGTGGTTTGGGTGCTATTTCTCCTGTTAAAGGAGAAATGAATAAGTAAAATATGGCTACACACTATGAAATGCCATGTTAGAAATAGGAGTTATACACAGCAACATAGATAGAGCACAAGACTATAGTGCTAAGTGAAAGATTAAGATAGGGAACTATTTCTACAAAATAAAAATACCTACAAAATGCCTACATGCACTAAACAACACTTTACGTTTTTCAAGGATGCATTTATATATAAAAATATATATATCAAATACGTGGCTAGCATAGAGATAGTGGTGGATGTTTGGTGCGGAGGAAAGGAGAATAATGGCGGTGATATTACACACGTGTGCACTCACACACACACACACACAGATAGAGAGAGAGAGAGAGAGAGAGAACTTTGTATAAAACAATGATCATGTGTGATATACTGAGGAGTATGATGAATACAGTGCTTTTTATCTGAGATACCTAAAGTCCTACTTCTCCTAGAGAGGAATATATTTTAAAAGAATGTATTGTGGATTTTCAAGCATCAATTAACAAATTGGGAAATAGTTTTATCATGCAGTCAGTGAGCATTTATTCATTATCTGCTATGTGCACTGTTCTGAGTGCTAGAACTAGTATTGGTAATGAGACAGAATAGCCTACGTTCTGGCTGACAATTCTGGTTAGCCCTTCTTGGCATTAAGGCAGGTAAATTGTTGCATATACCTAAGATCAACCATGGGTACACTCTGTCTGGGACCTGGGAGCTTGACGCTGGGGTTTCTTTTATCTCAGGTGGCTTGTGGGAGATGTTTGAAAATTCATAAGGAAAAAGCCAAGGAGAAGGCCTTTTATAATCTGAAATTATTTAGCGCACATATGTCTCTTGTTGTTTTTTTCCACAGGAAACTTTTATGTTATATGCAAAATAACAAATATTTCTGAGACTCCTGTATGACTGTTTAGAAAACCAATACAGCTTCAGATTCTCACTTTAGTCAAACTCACTAAACTTAAGATCTTGGCTCCATTAACACTATCTTATTAATGACTGTCCATCAGGGCTGTATAATGGATAACAGACATGTTGCTGCTACTAAAGACCAGTTTGCAATTTTCTGGCATTCTATTTTTGTTTCATAGCTAATTATTCCCTATTCAAGAACAGTAACAAAGCCGACAAGTAGTACTAGGTCAAATCCCAACTTTAGAAGTATTATAAAGGCAGTCCCAAAATTATCTCCGTGTATGGTTCTAAAGATATTTAGTAAATTATTTAATTTTGCAGCTCTATTTATCTATGTTAGATATTTATCTATGCATTCAATAGGAACATATTGAATGAATAAATAGTCTTTCCTACGTGTGTAGCACTGTTCTAAGTGTTGGAATCACAGAAATGAAAAAGACAAAGACTTTTCCCTCAAAATCATATAATTCAATAATATCGAAACTTTTTCCATGGGAACGAAATTATGTACACTTGAATGCATATGTATGTTTATTCTCAGGGAAGCCAACGAAAGTCTTTTTGATCCATAGCATAGTTTAATTCTAGTGATAATATAATTATATAGAGTTCTGGACAAATATGGCCATATCTTATATAATAAGAAATTGGATAAGGAAAAATTTCCTTATCTTGGGCTCATTAACATCTCTGAACAAACATTTGGAATGGGTCTTTTTTTTTTTTTTTTACTTCTTCCCACCCTTCCTTTTTGTATTTTTCTCCTAAGGTCAACTTCTTAAATGCTAGTGTCCTCATGCTGTCCTAACCCTTCACTATGACTCCTCATCTAAGTCTGTACCATCTCACGAATGCTCAAGATTTTACAATTTTTCACTTTCCTTCTTCAAGTTCTTCAACACTACTTATCTTAAGTAGTTATGAGGAGAAAAATCTGATTTAACTATTTGCATGAATTCACATTCCTTCTTTTAGCAGTACATTGGTGTACTTGCTCCCCGCTCCTGCCACTTCAGAGGGTTTCAAGTCTAGATTTTAGGTGTTATTTAGGAGTCAATGTATTTTTAATAATTTGAAGTCAACATGTAACCACTGTCTGACAAGATTCTCTTTTTCAGACACTCATATATACTAGAAATTGTTATAAGATTTTTGGAAATATTATTCTGAGACTTGTGTGTTGTTTAGAATGAGTGCAGGTAAAATTTCAAGATGAATACTATATCCCTGTATTCTTTACATACTTGTATGTTGAGAAAAATAGCGACCAGATTGTTCTGCATTAATATTTCCTAACTTGAATTGATATCGATTATAAGTCAATGAAAAAAAATTTAAGGTATATTTGTACCTACCATAATTGTTATGATCACAGAATGAGAGAAAAAAAATTTAAGGTATATTTGTACCTACCATAATTGTTATGATCACAGAATGAGAGAAAAACAGTGCTTAGGTTAGCCAACACTGTTATTTTTAAAATGCAAGTCTTCTTCAGGATTCAACATATTAAAAAATTAGATTAAATTATTTTTAAAAATGAAAATATATCCAAGCTATGATTACTATTTATTTTAAAGCAGAAGATGTAGGACATGGGTCCTTATTTCTGATTACCTCCAATGAGATAAGAATCTATGAAGCTTGTAGGAAAAAAGAGTCCGTGACCAAAATGCTTACTCAGTTACTATCGGAGATCAAAAAATATTATACCAAATCTGGAATCTACGAAGACAAAGCAATTGTTTTCTTTGAAAAATATGTAGGGTTTAGAAAATTTCTAGGATTTGTCTGTAAAAGCACCCTCTGGGCCCTTATAATGACGTTTTAGGGAAACACTTGCATATCAAGGTGGGACGGAGAGGGAGTGGTGTTTTGTGGGCTCCTGTGGTGGTTAGGTAGTTCTCAGAAGACAGTACTGGAAATTAGATAATTGCTGATGTCATATTTTTCACAATAAAAAAAAATTGGTGTCCCAGGCGCTATAAAAGCAGCAGTGTCTATCTTCCCATCACAAGCAGAATCATTGAAACTGGTAAGTGTAAACTTGGTATGATTGGTTTGTTTGGTACTTAATTGGTTTATTTGGTACCTCTTGATACCTAATTTTTTCCCTTTATGTTCTTATTCTCTTGATACTAGGTTCTTCTTCCCTAGCCACCAACTGTTTGAGTTAGAGTTGTCTGCAATGGCCACCCCGCGGAAATCTGTGAGCTTTTCCCTTATGAGGACTCTGGCCACTGGCTGCCTTCTTCTCATTGCCCTGTCGGTGCAGGAAGGAGCAGCTGTGCCCATTGGGTCTCTCTGCAGACTTGACAAGTCCAACTTCCAGCAGCCCTACATCACCAACCACACTTTCATGCTGGCTAAAGAGGTACTCATCTCAATCTTTCTCTCTTATGCATCTTAGCTACTTGGAACCTGAATAGTTCTTAAAATTTTCTTCAGAGCACATTGAAAATTTTAAGAACCCATCATTTATCTCTTCTAGTAGATCAGAGATCATTTTCTATGTCTCTTCAAAAACTCTTTGAAGATTGGACTTTACCAGAAGGCCTTCTATTTTGGCTTTTAAAACACGTACATTGAGGTCTACCCCAAAAGGAGCCATTTATTAGCCTATCTGACTATTCATTCATCTCTTTACTTCTCTGTGCATATTTTAAACTCATGCACACATCTGAATTCATTCCTTAGTGTTCATGGAGCTCTGAAGAGAGGGTATAAAGTACATCTCTACTTACAGACTTTTCTTCTGTCTCCTCGATGTCCAAGCACTTAGTCTTTTCTTCTCTTCCAGGCTAGGTCGGCAGACAACAATACAGATGTTCGTCTCATTGGGGAGAAACTGTTCCGTGGAGTCCATGTAAGCCATAGTGGTGATGAGCAGGGTAGCATGCGATCCGTGACTATTTGGAGTGGTGGTGATGTTGGTTTGCATCTTCTGATTGTCCTCTCATTTGACCCCTGCTGCTTCATTTTTGTTTGCAGATGAGTGAGCGCTGCTATCTGATGAAGCAGGTGCTGAACTTTACCCTTGAAGAAGTGTTGCTCCCCCAGTCTGATAGATTCCAGCCCTACATGCAGGAAGTAGTGCCTTTCCTGGCCAGGCTCAGCAACAAGCTAAGCCAATGTGTAAGTTCTCCTCCCAGCCTAAGTCCACCCACTCCTAGTTACCTGCCTTCCTTCCTTCTCCCATTTAGAGCCCCTTTCCCCCAGCTCTCATTCCCCCCTCCCATGCTGGCAATAAGCGATGCCTCAGCAACACCATTATAGGAGTTATTTAGAATCACAGAGTATTTGTTTTTGTTTTAATTGAGTCACATTTTGAGTTTATGGTGATGGATGGGGTCTAAAAAACTAGCGCATAAAAGGTTCATTTGTCCCTGAGAAAAAGCAACTCAGGTTATGTGAGCTGAGAAGGGTATTGGGAGCTGTGAAGGAAAACTGCCTAGATATGGAAATGGATCCATTGAGTATAAGTTGATAAAGGGAGGAGATGGGAAAGAGAAAGAGGGAAATCGGAAGGTTTAATGTTCTGTGGTGGATGGGCAGAGACTCCTGCCTTTTCGATGTCATGGGAAGTAACAAAATCACAGGTGTGTGAACTCGATGCCTCTGAACATTTAAAACTATAAAAAATGATTTGAGTGAAGCAGCAGAGCAAAGGGGACTTAGTATTTATTGAGGAGGGCCTACTGTTCACACAATACATTTTATGTATCTTTCTTGCTCTGAGCATGCATTTTTGATGAGGTACATTTAGGGTTTTAATCTTGACAAAATTTGCATAAACCACTCCACTCTTTCTACAAACTTAAACCTCAGTAGGATTTCCCAAAGGTGAAGAGAGGTCCCATGTAAGGGGAGTGACTGGATTTTGGTGTCCAAAGGAATTCAAATGCTCTGAAAATCTAGGTCACATGTGAAATCTAGGTCATTGTGGGCAAGAATGCTAAGAACTTTAATTCCAGGTGAATTGTAACATACCTCAGTTAAGGACACTGAGGTTCATAAAGCATAGTACAACAACGTTAAAATAATTACTCTGGTTTTTATTTTGTAGCATATTAAGAGTGATGATCAGCATATCCAAAGAAACGTGCAAAAGCTGAAGGACACAGTGAAAAAGGTAATATTAATAACTATTAATGCTAAATCATTAAATAGTAGAGACAAATGCTTTATTTTTCTTTCCTTTCTTTTTTCCTTCCAAGTTGTGATTTTTTTACTTGATTCTCCTACCATCGGATTGATAATTTAGGTGCATATGTGGATAGATGTGTCTATGTATTTATAAATCAATTTCTAAATTTTGGAAATCATAGAATTCTAGAGCTCGCTGGGAAGTTAGGTCATCTAGTCTCATCACCCATGGTTTGGGGATGGCCAGTGGCAGAGCCAGAGCTAGAATGCAGTTCTGAATCCCATCCAGGCCAACGCTCCTCCAGCAGAATTACATATTAGTTTTAATATTTCTTAGAGAAATTTAATATTCCTACTGATTCATGTAATCTGAAGGAGCACTTGTTCAAAAACAGAAAGGGGCCTGGTGGTAAATTTATTTTATTTGAAGTGATTTTTGAAGCTGCTAATTTGATGATTTAGAACTTGGGGAACTAAACCCAAGTTCTAAGAACTTGGGGAACTAAACCCAAGAACAACCATAACAAAAGAGCTGGATTTACATAAAGGATGAATTTCTAGAATGATTGATACTTATATTTAATTATCAGATTATAATAACCAACAGCTGTTGATTTTAATTTAAAAGCCAGAGTGAACAATGCTTGATTTCCTTTACACAGTTTCAAATGAAAATATTAGTAATGGATTTATTACAGTGGAATGGAAGTCCAAGTTGGACATCTTCTTTTCTTCCTCTCCTGCTTCCTCTTCCTTTCTAGTCTTCTTCTTATCTCAATGAATCCCTAGTGAGCATGTATCTGATGTAAGCTAGTGTATATCTATAGTGAATAATACCATCATGTGGCCTATTTGGAGAAAAGAATAACAGTACAAGGCTCAGACTAGCAATCGTGACTCATCCAAAAACCAGAAGAATGATTAGTAGCAGCGAAAGTGATGCTCTTGCAAGCAGGTACAATTAAACCTCAGAAACACGAAGGCTCTAACTGATGAAATTTTCAGTAACAAGCGTCATCACAATTTTCCCTTTTTTCCATCTTGATTTTTTTTAAAGCATTTCTTCCTGAGCATGATTTAATGAACATGCCTGTTTCTTCCTTTGATAATTGAAGGCTTTGTGGTTTTTCACGGTGAAGATCAATTCTCTTATCACAAAAAATATTACCTACATGTAGAAGGCTGAATATTAGCATACCATAGCCAAGAAGTACACTTGGTTTCAAACCTTTCTGGTTTGAAAGATTCCTGTCAGCTTACTTTGTTGTCTTTAGAAAAGCGACATCAGAGAGAAAACTCTGATGGTGATCTGTGTGAGAAAAGAAGAGATTTTAAAGCCTTTACTCCATTTTGGGAGAATCAACTTTCACATTTGCAATAGGTTGCCATGTGGAAGAGTGGTTATGCATTTTGTTTTTTGTTTTGTTTTTTGTTTTTTTGTTTTTTGTTTTTTAACACTGTAGCTCCAGAAAGCATAGATGAGAGAAAAGAATGTTGTCCAGAGAAAGCTCAACATGAGAAAAAACTGGTCAGCACTATATGAAATGAGAGGGCAGTCTTGGGAGGTAGTAATCCCTGTTACTGGAAGGAAAAGTGGGGAGCTGGTTATAATAGAATGGATGAGGTATAAAAAATATCCCCTGACATTATGTCAAAGGAAGTGTGGAAACGTGGAATGGTGGAAGAAAGCAAAAAGAGAAAGGAGAGTAAAATATACAGGACAAAGATAATGATGACTTATAGCTTTTCCTGAAATAATCTACAGCAAATTTAATAGAGTAGATGAATTTCAGAGGAGGATGCTTTGGGCTTGAATTTGGGATCTCTCTCCTATTGGCTTTGGGAGCCTCATTCGCATATTACTTGGAAAGAGGAAGAAAGAAGGGATGTTAGAACCTGCATCTGGCTTTCTACTAATTAAATCAACGGAATAGGACTTATTTGGTATTTTCCCAACAAAAGTCAAAACCTATTTTTTTCCCCTTTGTCAGGAAGATGAGAACAGAAAGAGCCCATGTATATTGGTAAACGTGTAGTTTGATTCAAGGTTGTTGAGTTAAATTGTTACAAGTAATTGGTCATAGACAATCTTGGGGCCATGAGGTAGGGCAGGGCATAACGGGTGGGCCTCTGGGTCCCCCAGCACAGCTTCCATCTGCTTGGTCTGTTTAGGAAGTAGTTTTAAACAGCTTCCTTAGTGTTAGATACAACGGAGATTGGTGCCTGTTGGTGCCTGCTCAGTTCAGACAGCCACAATTTTAAGGTCTTTGGCAAATCACATTATACTCCTGCTAAAAGGGTATTATTACTAATCTGTTACGAAAGGCTAAAACTTGGTTTCAGTCTCCAGCAATCTAAACATGCCATCTCCCTCTAACTTGATCCCCTTTTAAGAACTTGGTATAACAGCTTGTGCTTTCTTATATTCACAGCTTGGAGAGAGTGGAGAAATCAAAGCAATTGGAGAACTAGACTTGCTGTTTATGACCCTGAGAAATGTCTGCATTTGATCACAGCAAAGCTGGAAAATGAATACTAACACTTCTTGCCTGTTAGAAATAATAATAAGATCCCCATAGGTTTTTTTTTTTTCTCCCCAAAAGGAAAGTGGGAAGCCAAACTTCACAATCATAGGTAGATTCTAAATAAACCCCTGCTTAGCTTAAAAAAGAGAACAATGTCACTTGTGTCCATAAGACCAGAAGGTAGTCCTGGTAGTTCTGGTCATAATGAGATTTGTTCCTAATGTTTTATTGTGGTTGGCTTTTTATACACAGAAATTTACTTTTAAGCAATTGTCTATTTACACAAAAAAGATTATGTCCAATTTCTTTAAGGAAAAAAAAATCCCTGAATAACTGTTTTCATGATTAATACTTTATATTTATGAATTTATTTATTGTTATAAGTATACATTTTATTTATATCATTTTACTATGAATTTATTTATAGAAATCATGTGATATTGCTACTTAAGTATAAGACTAATATTAATATTTATGATAATAAATATCTAAAATATGTTTAATAATATGTTTATTGGAACTCAATAAATACTTTGACATTCTAAATCTTGTGGCTTTGTGATATTTTTCCTTTAATATTATTATGTCATCATCATCATGACATAATCATTCTCATTTGCTAATTTAGCCAAGGATCTCATATAAATAAATTTATTTTTGACTCTAAGCAAGTGAATTGGCTATTAGTATTATCTCTATTTTACAAGTGAGAAAACTGAATCAGAGCCATGTCAAAAAACATTGTATAACTATAATCGAGTTTGGTCTATCTGATTTCTGGGCTCTCCGCTATATTGCGAAGATTTATTATGTTGATTCAGCAAGTAATTCTGAAAGAAAAAAGGTAAGAAATTGAAAAAATTCATCTGCATTGTTAACAGTTTGTGGGTAAAAGAAAGAAGTGAGGTTGTTGGGGGATATATATACATGGAGCCTCTATTGCTAAAGGTGAACTGCTTTAGTTCTAGTTCAAGGCAGTTAGGGAGAGCATTCTCCAGGTTTCCTGTGAGTCAAGAAATAAAGTAAAGGGAAAGCTGACTGAGTTGGGAGAGTCTTATCTGCTGGTGGTGTTTAGCACTCATGGAGAAGTCTTGCATGCGGACGATGAGAAAGATATTATGAAGCACACTGAAGAGAGAGTGAAAGTTGTACATCTTCAAACTTTGTACAGCGGTACAGAAGAGAGCAAAGATGTATAGAGGGAAGTTTAACTAGTTCTATCTAGAATAATGAACAAACAACCCCAGCATTGAAGAATGTTGAGGTCTTTCCATAGAAGATGGAAGTGAGTGGTCAGCTCTCCAAAGTATTTCCTTTTACAAAAAAATCAAGAACCTTGGTTTTATTCTACAGATAACTCACAAACTGTTTCCTAAGTTACTGCAGGATTAGGTTAAGCCCTATGTTGATTGGTGAGCATGTATATAAATTGCAGGTTCACTTGTAGGTTAAGTAAAGCTACGGGTATGGGCTCTGAATGCTGAGAGGTACTGGGAAGATAAAATTATAATTATAATTATAATTATAAATTATAATTACTTCTGGGGTAAGTTGCAGTTCAGGACTCTTTCTTCTCTTCTTCCAAATGAGTTTCTGTGTAATGCCTTAAGCAAGATTTGGTATTATACTTGTTTTTGACCAATCTTCTAGAAATTGAGCCATAAATGGAAGAATACTCTTAAAACTGGAAACACAAAAGCTTCCATCTCAAGGCAAGCAGTCTGAAACAGAGATTTAAAAATTCTGACTACCAGTGAATATAAGGCATAAAGTTCCAGAATCGTCTTCAGTTTTGGAGGACAGTGCTGACAAATCTGGCAGTTATATGAAATAGTCCAAATTCCACATAGGGAGTCTTGACATAATCATTGGCATCTATTATAAGAATTTTTTTTTTTTTTAACATCGGTGGCAGTGGTTAGCATTTGGCTGGCATCGTCAGCATTGCTCTTGTTTTTGGCATTGGCAGAGACATTGGGTGTCTCCTCTCCCAGGAGCAGATGGCAACATCCACGTATTCAAGAAGACTAATCTGTGAGCCGTGTGAGACACAAGCCCCTGGAGATAGACTGACGAGAAGGCACTGGAGGGTTTCGAGCATGGGAAAGACTTGATATAACTCATGTTGTATAAAGATCACTGTGGCCGGCTGGGTAGAGAGTAGGTCTAGTGTGTATGCATGTAGGGAGGGGGGCGATAAGAACAGAAGCAAGGCCAGGGCAATAGTCTAGGGAGAGGGGATGATTGCACTGGAGTAGATGAGAGCAGAGTAAGAGAAATCTGGTGTTGACTCTTACTGTGACACTTGGCTGGGGCTGCCTGGGAAATAAGAGCTATGTATGGATCATGTGCACTAACAGGAAAAAGTTTTTTTTTTGTCCTTCCTTTGCACTATATTATTCAGTAACAGGCAGCGCTTCATATAGGAATTTGAGTAAGGACAGTCCTTACTCAAATTCAGAAGAACAAAATGTAGCGATGCCAGTGGTGGAAAGCTGAGGTCCCATTGTCTCAGAGACAACCACAGCTATAGCAACTTTATCTTTAAAATCTACTTTCAAGGAATGTTTATTGTTGAAAAAATAGGTGGAGAAAGCCAGGATGACTGACACTGATCTCCAAGAGGAAGTTGTTTCACCACTGCACCAAGAGACTTAGATAGACAATAACCGGACCAGAGGGATTCACTGGATTGTCTTGTCAATTTGCTCAGTAGTATTGTCAACAGAAAATTGCATCAACCCCAAAGAGACAAGATCATTAAGAACTCTATTTCTAAAGGAATGAGTGTTTAAGTCACATTACCAGGCGAAACACCTAGCCAATGGAGGTGCAGACAGAGAGTAAAGGTAAAATGGAATGGGTAGTGGAAGAAAGAATTCATGATTATTAATTTAGATTCTGTGAATAGCTATAAAAAAGGAACTATAGCAGATATGGTTTCTGTTAATAAATTATTTGTCCTCTTTTCTCTTCTCTCGCCCGCTTCTTATATAGAGAGCACTTGTGGGGGTTAATATTTTAGTTTTCAGGTGGGTATATCACCATGTTGACATCATCCTGTAATGATACAGTAGTTGATGAGATTCTAAGTATTTCCTGTGCTGGAGACATGTATTTTTCCATCTGAACGACAAGAGTGGATGTTTAAGACAAAGGGATGGATTGTGTCAATCTGGTCTGTTTTTTTCCACTCCACTCTGTGCCTGGTATATAGGAATTGTCCCATATACATGCTTGCTCTCTGGTTTTCCACTGCATTTGGCAAATAGAAGAAGTTAGCAAGAGATTGAAGAATGAGAATAAGGTGAGAGTATTTATTCCTCTGGAACCCTACTGCCAGATTGTCATGCAGGTTGGTTGTGTACTTCTACTAAAAAACCTCAGCTCCTTGCAGACAGCCCTCTTCCATATAATTCCCTTTCCTGGTTCTAGAAATTCCTCCAACCCTGTTCCCTAACAGGCTTCCAGCTGTTGTTAGCTTCAGGGCACTGGAATGCTTCTTGAAGTGTTCTTTAAGCTCTTTCCAAACCTTAAAATAATCAATTCCATTAACTCTTTTCCAGTTTGAGTATAATGTATGTTTTCTGACCTATGTATCCATTTTCTTGCTTCCATTCTCTCCCCACCCCCTGCCTAGCAGCAGGATAGAGTCTACCAATTTAAATGAGATTATTTATGGACCATAAATAAAGTCAGTTTTTGGCATATCTGAGTCGTGTGTAAATTTTTGACCCAGTAATAAAGGAAAATCTGAAACAATAGTATTATGGTTCCTAGAGTTAAAACACATTCGTTAATAAAAGAATCCCATTTCTCCAACAGATTTTCCCATGATGAAATAGAGGTGCTTAGGTCACATGTACTGACTGTTACCTAAACTGAAGATCCCCTTTGACCCAGGAGTGCTCTTGTTCCTTTCTGTGGCTCTCTCTCCACAGCTTCCATACCAGGTACGTGTGGGAGTCTTCGTTTCAGCTGGATTATTATGCCAGATGGAGGGTGGGAGAGTTATCACACCTGAATAATTCTGGCTCTCCTCAACCCATGGTTTCTTCTCTTATGTGTGACCTTTTGTTCTTATAGCTGCTAAGGATATTCAGGGGGACCCTACATGCATCTTTTAATCACAGTTCCTTCCTTGTTTCTATGGGCCATATCTTACTTTAGCAATGTGTGTGCAGGTTAACTTCAATACTACCTAGAAATTGTTGTGTCCTTACTGGCATGTGCTGTTTCTTTTTGAATAAATATCCTGTGAGATGCTTTTATGAGCTGTTGTCTCATCTGTGACATTTTCATCTTGCCATCGCTGCAGATGCTATTTTTAGACACAACGACTGCCCAGGAACCTTATGAATCTCACTTTACTGCTTGAGTTAATGACACCCTAGAAATGTCAATTCAGTTTAGTTTAGTAAGCAACTATTTAGATCCTAGTGTGTGCAAGATCTCGTGCTAGGGGCTACGAGAACATTAGATATAATTTGGATGCTGTCCTCACGGAGCCTGCAGTCTTGTGAGAAAGACAGGAAAACAACTGCTTGGGGCACAAGTGGACTGAAATGTGTTGTGGGAGAGGCACCAATGAGATGATGATTACCACTGCAGAAGACATCAAAGTTGCATTTGAGCTGATCTTTTGAAGGATAAGAAGGATTTCGACAAGTTCAAAAGTCATCTCCTCTGTGAAATCTCCCCTTTTCTTCCCCTTTGCAATGTAAGCATAGTTAATTGCTCCATCTTCAGGACCCTCAGAGCATAATTTCTCTCTTAACATCTATTGAACTGCAGTTTTCTGTTATGTGTCTATCTCAAGAGCTTTTCAAGAACAGAAACTACTCTTCATCTTTGTGCCCCAGGACCTAAAAATGCTTGGTACTTTACAGGTGCTTGATAAAGTTTTGGTGGTTAGATGCATAAAGGCTCGAACAGCATTTTGGGCCCAAGTGCCTGGATGAGCAAAGGGTTGAAGACATGAAAGGCGACAGAGGACTAGGGGGAGGGCCAGAGTTCTAGTGTGGCTGGAGCACAGGCTGTGTGGGCTGATGCAGTAGGAGATGACCAGCAGTTGGTAGCATTAATTCTATACAACTTCCTATTTCTAGTCTTTGGGAACTCAGTTATTGACAGAAATTCTGAAAAGGGAGCTCAGTGAACTAATAGGATTTGGCTCACACCATGCCTTGGCCCTTAACCTGATGTAAGTGGATAAGGCAATTGCATCAACACG